GTGATGATCGATGACCGGCTAAACTTCAACAGCCACGTCGAATATGCCTGTGAGAAGGCTTCGAAGGCCATCAACGCGATAGCTAGAATCATGCCGAACAACGCTGGTCCCAGCAGTAGCAAGAGGCGTCTTCTGGCCAGCGTGTCATCATCGATACTGAGATATGGAGGTCCAGCCTGGGTTCCAGCGCTGGAAACGAAGCAGAACCAAAGGAAACTGAGCAGTACGTTCCGGCTCATGGCCATGCGAGTCGTGAGTGCGTACAGAACCATCTTGTCGGAAGCAGTATGCGTTATCGCCGGTATGATCCCTATCGGCATCACCCTGGCGGAGGACAGTGAGTGCTACAGGCAGAGAGAAGCCGGAAGAGTACGGAAAGTTGTGAGAGTGGAGTCATTGGCTAAGTGGCAACAGGAGTGGAACACGACGGAGAACGGTAGATGGACACATAGACTAATACCGATTCTTTCGACCTGGGTGAACAGAAAACACGGAGAAGTCAATTTCCACCTAACGCAGTTCCTGTCTGGCCACGGCTGCTTCAGGAAATACCTGCATCGGTTCGGACACGCAGCGTCACCCCTCTGTCGGGAGTGTGGCAACGTCGATGAAACGCCGGAGCATGTGGTCTTTGACTGTCCAAGGTTCGAGGCAGTGCGAACGGAGATGCCCGTCCTTAACGTGGAGAATGTCGTTGATGAAAGGTGTCGAGAGGAGGACTCTTGGAATGCCGTCAGCAGGGCAGTCACACAGATTATGTCAGAGCTGCAGCGTAAATGGAGAGAAGAGCAGCGATCTAGCAACGCCAGCTAGCGCTGAGAGTACGACAAGTGCATAAGCACAGCCACCCCCCGAAGTAGTCGCTTCACAGTGGTCCCGGGGGGATCCAGGCAGAGGAGAGAGTAAGGAATGGGTTTTAGTGGAGCTGCACTAGGCAACTAGTGGATACCACACCGTGCCACCTTCACTACAGGCCAGGCTTCTAGAAGCTTTCCTAAACCTTACTATAAAAAAAAAAAAAAAAAAAAAAAAAAAACACACACACACACACACACACACACACACACACACACACACACACACACACACACACACACACACACACACACACACACACACACACACACACACACACACACACACACACACACACACACACACACACACACACACACACACACACACACACACACACACACACACACACACACACACACACACACACACACACACACACACACACACACACACACACACACACTTCCAATTTCAAAATGTTCTTTTGAATCCTGGTACGTATTTAATTTATGATTTGTTTTTTAAATTGTAAACAGTATTTGGACTGGTAACACCATGTTTATTTGATCCTCCAATCCATAGGTTCCGTAGTTTTGTTTTTCTCCACGCTTTGCAACTCATTTCGTGATTCATCTTTGCCGTTATACTTCCTTCAACGAACACAAATTGTCTTGCATTGCCATGGTCATCTGGGAGGAGGTTCACGTCTAGTGCTTTCCCAGGAACATTTCGCGGCCACCAACTACCACCCGTCCAGTTTTGGGCGTATCCAGCGAGGCATCTTTCATATTGCTCACAATCTCTTACACCGGCGAGAGACCAGCAGCCGAACGCTTTTGCAAGCGGAAAACTTGCTGATTCGTCGGCCACCGAATCGCTACCAAAACTCATGACGGAGACATTATCAGCACGTTCCCGGGCTAATTCACCAACCGGACCGGGTTAAAACTCGCCCACGGTGACAAATCTCTCAATGTGACATTCAAACTCGGAAAACCGAGCTCCCGGGAGGCAATGAAAACCGACAACGAACAATGAAACTGAAGCTGCGTCGAAGATTTTGAAGGTTAGATTTAAGGTCAACTGAGTCACTCAAGGCAAACACAGGCAAAACACGATATATTACTAAATGATAACTTTATGAACACTTGAAACTAAATTTCAGCACACAAATTAACAAATTTAAAGCAAAAAATGTTGCATTCGCTGACGAAAAATACGTCAGCTTTCAAGCGTGGCCTGCTGCGATCAATCTTCTGGCATTAATCTGACTTCTGTAGCTTTAATTACTCACTACTAGGAAAGATACGCCTTGAAACAAAATTCTGATTCCGTTTCGCTTATTTGTGGTTTAATTTCGTTTCACTTGGAGCAGAAAATTTAGAGCTGGATCATTTTAAAGCTATCGAAATGTAACGGTATTTCGTTAACTTACAACCAAATTTAAAACTTATTGTCATACATTTTTAAAATAACCGGCAATATTGTCTCATCAACGCAACCAAATCGTCACAGATCTTATATAATATTACTATGAGCTCTGTCTATTGCAGGTTTTCGTTCACACAGAATGATTGAGTTCTTTAATTTCAAAAATTATCTTCAACTTGTCGAAATTAGTCCCGATTCTCCTAAAATGTGTTGCAATATGTGTCCGTTAATCGCTTATTTTTAATTTAAAAGTAAAGTTAATGTGATCAATAATATACATTGAAAATACAAAACGCAGATGAACTACAAAACACGGCCTAAATTAATGAATAATATTATGATTATGCACTGCTCCAGAATGATGCCACAATAAACAGTCATACGAGCATGTTAAACATGCTTATCTTCTCTAACAGCAAACCAAATTCTAATTTTTCACTGTTTATGGTGATTCTAAGGAAGCCTAAGCGTGAAAATTCAAAAGAACAAATGTCAGCTTCAGCTTGAGTAATCCAGCGGATTAAGATCGGGGCTGGATGGCGGCCACATATCCTTCGCCCAGAATGGAAAATGTTCCTGCAACCACTTCTGAGTGCGGTTCGAGGTGTAGCACGGAGCCCCATCTTGTTGAAATACAACATTTGTCTTCGGACCGTACTGTTCTTTGATCCACGGAAGAACATACTTACTTAAAATCCCGATGTAGACTTCCGTGTTGACCTTGTCGCCTTCTGGAATGAACAACTGGTTCATTTTTTGCCATCGGAAGCTACCAATCCAAACACTATAACGCTAGCAGGATGCTTGGTCAGCTACACGTTCTTGTGCTCGTCGGCCACGTCTTTTACCGGAAGAGAACAAATATACCGGTCGGTTCTGGAATTTAATACGGGATCGACGGTAAACATGCTCTCGTCGATAAACAGGATTACCAGATTTTTTCGCTTAAGGAAGTTCAAGATTTTCTTGCATCGTTCGACTCGTAGCTCCCGGATGCGGTTGGTAATCATGTGAGTGTTTTTCCGTGCCCTCGACTTCGCCCCGCAATTTTCCTTTACGATCTTCCGTGCCGTACAGTCACTGATCCCGTGTTCCTTTGCCATTTTCCTTATTGAACGCACTGGATTCACCCGAATCTTCCTGTTGATAGCAGCGATAACCCTCGGAACCCAAGCTGACCTCGGACGACCTGTGGCCACCTTCGCGTATAGTTGTCCTTTCTTTTCTCGGTCTAAAACCCTTTTGACGGTCCACCGGAACACTCCCATGGCGAATGAAATGTCTTTTTGCGACATTTGCGCGTGGGACAAATCACGAATACGCTGCCACTTCATTATGGTGCAACTGTCAAACTAAGTAAATTATTTTCTTTTGTACACAGCCTACTACGGTATGAGCTATAGGTTACGTGCATGCAAAGAAAACCAAGGCATTGTATGCACAGGTGAAACGGGAACCTTATTTGTACGATGGTGCAAACATTATCACGCATACGGTAAGTTAAACGGACTTCAGTGTTATTTTTTATTTTGTTGGAAAGGATATTAGCTCCCCTTAATTGGTCCTTATCACAGGGTGGTTGGTACAATTGTTAGCTAAATTATGTCGAGTCGGTAGACAAGCGGGCTTAGCATATTTTTGCCAGCAAGCTTATAACAATATCTAGTGGTATGCAGGCCTCCGAAAAAATTGGTTTCCAAAATTTCAATCCAGATCTGGCATTCTCACAACATGTCTCACCAACTACTCTCTTGCATCCTTGGCAACTTTATGAATGCAGAGGAATTTCAAGGGAATACTGGTAGCATGCCTACAGAATTATGAGGAGTAATTCAACGAGAGTTTGAAGCATAATTCCATGGGAATTCAAGCAGAATACTTAACCCTTTGTCTGTATCTTGGGGTCAGTATGACCCCAGGCAAAGGTTGCAACCTTGATTATTTATCAAAACAGGTTTTTTCTCTGACATTTTTGCATGCTAAAGTCTTCTTAGTTGAGACACATTTAGAATTTTATTTAATACCCGTTTTGAGGGATTTTCACAATGAACTTAGCTTTATTTGAGAGGTTCAGACAAGAGGTGGTCACTCTACACACTTATTTTGCGCCAACATTTTTCTCAGTGTAACTCAGTGTGCCGCAGCTGTACCGGCAGTGCCAAGAAGTCAAGCCTTGTTTGACAACCCGGTATTTTAACAGCTCTTATTTTTATTTTTCAATGTTTTCAAAAACGGCACGGACTCCAGTTGGGACTACACACTGGATGCATCCGTCTCCAAGGATGCCTGCAACGGACGAGCTCCGTTGCTACACGATCCTTCCATCTTCGGCGGAAGGCCGACCCCGAACAACGAACGTCAATCATTAGTCAACCAGCCCTCGGAGCCGGCGGAGGAAACGAATTTGCACCGTCCGAGTATCATCAGTCGGAAAACTGGAAGTCAACACCGGCCGGAACAGTCAACTTCATTCAACCGGCACAGCAACAGGGCGCAGGGATGATGGTCTACAGACTCGAGAACAACACAGTCATCACCGATAAGCTGTTCAATCTGTTCTGCCTGTATGGAAATGTTGCCAGGATAAAGTTCCTGAAGACCAAAGAGGGTATTGCGCCATCGCAGTTGAACCGGTCGAACGCAGCATGCAGCATTTGAACAATAGGATGCAAATTCAATGCAAATGATGGTAGCAAAATTCAAGTTTCATTTTCCAAGCAGAACTACTTGTCAGAGTCCATCCTGCTGGACAACTCGATCAGCGTCAAGGTCTACAGCGCCTCCAAGAACAATTGCTTCTTCAATACCCCACCCGTATGCCGTTCGAGGATCTGCTGCTGACTGCATTCACCACCAAGGACTGCCACCCGTCGCAAGTGCGAATGTTCCCGCTGAAATCCGTTCCGGATTGGATGAGTTCTCGAGTGTAACCCTGGCGAACGCCATCATAAAGTGCAACCACAGCGCGATCGATCACAAATGCACAAAATTCCCGTTCATTTTGAAGCTGTGCTTCTCCTCCTCCAAGTCGATGAACAATGCGAGGAGCAACGAGAAATTCGAAAATACATTAGCTTTGAAAAGCGGAAGATTGTTTTTCTGAGAAAAGAAAGGATTTTCCTTTTTCTGTGTAGTTAATGTTATGATTCGTAATTATAATTTCTTAGAAGTATACGATGGAATGGTTGGTGTAGCAGCCACTGCTATGAATGTATTCAAGCAGTTCGAATGGTCGGATGGTATAGTTTTTGTTTGGTTGTTGACTTTCCGCTTGTCATGACCGGCCCGAGATTTCCAGCGTCGACCACGGCTACACGAATTAGCGATGCAGCTCCCGTGGCTGCTTCCAATGCTGCTGCTGATGTTCGTTCTGCTGGTCCGTTTCCTCTAAAATTCGTCAAAAAAGACGGACCAGGAGCGGCAGCAGCATTGGAAGCAGCCGCAGCCGCATTGTGGCAACATCAATAACAAATTTTGACAGATGCAAGCGCAGAAAAAGTTCAGTGTTGTCAGTAACTTTAAAGATCATAATTGTAACCATGGGTGCCAAACAGCGCCAATGACTTCAGCCGCGTGTGCCCAAGTTTGATTTTGGCACACTGTGTAGAGTGACCAACCCCTTGGGTTCAGATAAAGGGTTAAGAGAAAGGAATTGTGATGAGAATTTCATGGGAATTTAAAGGAGATGTAGTAGCTTATTCGAACTAGAATTTCAAGATAATAATCGGCAATATACTTCTAAAGAAATTCAAGAGAAACTTCAGAGAAGTCCAATGTGAATTACAAGATAATTCTGAGTAAAATAACAGGGCAATTCTGAGGAGAGTTCGTAAGAGAGTTTTTAAACAAATTTCGTGGAGTATTCCTATGTAATTCCTAGCAAAATGTCACGGCAACTTAAACAAGAATTCAGCAGAGAATTTTCACGAGAGTTCCGGAATAAATTACGATATTGGTTAATCATTAGACAATAGTTTAAGAGTGGTAAATCTTGAATTACATGTGAAGAATTTTTACAATATTGCGAAAAATATGGATGGAATACCAGAGCGATATATAGTCTCCACATGAACTTCATGGAAGAAATTTATAAATGAAATCGAAATAAACTCTGTGAAGGGTTCCAAGGTACTTGAGAAATTTTCAGAATCACCGATACTGGAAAATAAATCAAGATTTGCAAAATTTATAAGTTTCATATGATTATTCTTCAATTTTATTACTAAGGCTATGTGCCGGTTCGGATGTTTACTGGCTTTGTACGGCTTGTATCCTTTCCTGGCAAGGATGTTCCGCACCGTCTGAAAGTTGGCGTTGTACCTTCTGGCCACATCTCGGATCGAAAGACCGAGGTTAGCTTTAATGCACCTCAACACCTTGCTGCGCAGCTGACGATCCCTGGTTCCAGTTTTTTCATAGGTCCTTTCCACACTCAGGGTTTCCCAAGGGGCAAGTCAGCTGTACTCAGAGCAAATAGGTTCGCAGCGAGTAGACTTGAGCAACTCATAATTACTCAAAACTGATTAAAGTAGTCTCGCTTTGTTCAGCATATATAGACTGTTCCAGAAAGTATAAGCACACCTTATTTTAACGGTCACTTTGAATATAATGAAATATTTGAACATGTTTTGGCTGCGTCCTTTTGTTTGCTCATTTCTGAATGATATAGCATCAAAAAAGTGCTCAGTTTTGTGTTTCCTGTCGAAATGCGTGGTCTTACTCCGGAACAACGAAAAAGTATCGTGCACAAATGGTGCACTGTGAGCGGACTCTCCTTGAGAAATGCCTACAAACGAAAACCAGCGACTTCCGTTCGGGATGTTGCGAAAAAACTAGGGACCTCGTCGAGTAACGTCATGCGTGCCAAAGAAAGACGTGGGCTAAAAACATACCGGAAGCAGAAAAAACCCAAAAGGAACCCAAAACAGGCCGCGTCCGTGAAACCAAGGGCCCACAAACTCTACGATTCGTTATTGTGTCGAAATTCTGGGTGTATAATAATGGACGACGAAACGTACGTGAAACTAGATTACAAAACGCTCCCCGGACCACAAATCCATACTGTAAGCGAAGGCGAGGACATCCCTGAAACGGAGAAGGCAATTTTTACCGAAAAATTCGCTAAGAAGGTTATGGTTTGGCAGGCGAGTGTGGTAAAACATCTAGTCCGTACATCACAACGGAGACGATGAACACTCAGAAATACGTTAAGGAATGTCTCCAGAAGCGATTGTTGCCGATGATCAGGCAGCACGAAGGTCAAGTAGTATTTTGGCCTGATTTGGCGTCATGTCATTACGCAAAGGACACTTTAGAATGGTACAAAAGTCAAAATGTATGTTTTGTGCCCAAAGACATGAATCCGCCGAACTGCCCGGAGACGCCAATCGAGACTTTTTGGGCTTTAACCAAAGCAAAGCTTCGAAAATTAATAAAACCAGCGGACGACATCCTAAAATTCAAAAAAGATTGGCCAAAAGTGGTCAAAATGGTGGGAAGTACCACTGTGGAGAAGCTAATGGGTCATGTTCGAGAAAAAGTTAGGAGTCTTGGCTCTGATTAAATATGTTGATTAAACGAGAGTAAAATATCATTTGAAATACAAATACAAATATGATTTGCCAAATAAAATAAATTAAAACTTAAAAAAACATGACTTTTTTGTTATTTTGAAAAAGTGCTTATACCTTCTGGAACAGTCTATACAAACCTTCAATGAAAAGACGTCATCTACATAGGGTTAAGTATCCCATTTTGGGCCTATTAAGCATAAGCAAATTTCATGACGGTATTTGATAGCTTAGTATTTACCAAATCACACATATCTATACACAGGATTATTCTAAATTGATAAACCTGTTGCTTTATAGGTAACTATCAGTTTGAATTAATCTTTCTTACCTTAAAAAATCGAAAAACGTAATAACTCTCCAGCGCCTAAATTCGGCCTATGAGTTGTAAACTCGGCCTATCTAGATTGTCTTCGGCTTACACAAAAAATCGTTCAATGTTTACAAAAAAACTTCACTTGCTGTGTGAAACATATGATGTAGAAATGTCAAATCTGAAGACAACAATAAACGGAATATCGATAAACACAAAGGGCCCATCGGCTAAAAAAGTAAAAAAATAATAATTGAAAAGGCGGTTGAGAAAATTAATAAATAATAAATCCGTTAGTCTAGATTACCCGAAAAAGCAGTTCTGTACATCTACGTTTCCAGAAATAGTGCAACCATATCATGTGAGGTTTGCATGCTTTTGTTTTCTTGGTGTGGCTAACTCTTATTTGAGACATATTAAGATTTTTATTATATACACGGTTTGAAGAATTAGGACAATAAGCTTTGCTTAATTGTTGAGACACAGACAATGGGCTAATCAGTTTATGCAAAAAAAAATCCGGTGTGGCCCGGGAGGGTGAGGAGGTCATTAATAATTTCTTGGTTGTTGATAACCACATTGACCTTTCCATTCTTTACCCTATAACGCCCATTTTTTTTTATTCTGCATGCATTATTTCAAAACGTCTTCAAGGTGATATGAAAAATATGGATTTTATTCATCTAGATGAATAAAGATTGTCTATAGCAGTTGTTGTAAAAAAATCAATTTTTTCGCTGATTTTCACCTGAGTACTGCGGACTCACTCAAGGTGCTTGTCACTTGGGAGCCAGAGTGAACTGTCAAGCAGGAGCGAAACATTCAGAAGCAGCAAATGCAGTTACTGTTCTTATCTACCGTCAAGCATTGTAATCTCATAAAAATGATCAATACTTTTTCATAACACATTCTTAATGTTAAGCTCAAAGATAAAAACCAACAGGCTCAGTGATGAAAGTATAAAAACCAGCATAATTTTTATGAGGCAGCTGAGTTTTCAATAACAGTAAAACAATCTTTAGCGAAACATGTATGTAAACAAACTTTGAAAGAGTCATGGGGGCTCGAGCACTCCAGGCTCAGAGCTTTAGGCGGGAATCAACTGAGAAAGAGCAAACCAGTTTTAAACTTCAGAAAATTTTCAAGCAGTTTTCCATTGGCTTGCAAAATAATATTGGTGGACTTCGCAGTACCCAGATTTTCACCATATGTTGCCAGTTGAAGCTAGCAGACACACACAAATACACATGCACACCCACACCCGCAATCACACACTCTCTCACACACGCACACACACAGCTTTTTGTCGAATAAAATTCAATGGATCGTATAGGGTTTGTTGTTATTATCATTTATTTTCCGATAGTTGAATACACTTCTGAAGATCAGTTATTTTTAAATATAAAAAAATCAAGGAGTACAAATTTTCCTCTATAGTTGAGTCATTTTATCAAATCAGTCGTGGAATTTTATTGCTTTTTTTCTTTTCTGATCCTATCTTTCTTTTTTCCGCGTTTTCTTGTTTCTGTTTATCCTTCTCTTCTTTCGCTTTCTCTCGATTAATTTTTCTTAATTTAATTTCCTCAGCTTTTTTATCTTTCTCCTTCTTCCGAGCTTCTCTCAGTTCAGATTTTTTAACTCTTAACGCCAATGCTTCTTCCTTGCTGATCTCAGCTAAACGCAGTGCTTGTATGCGTTCGGCTGCAGTCAGAATTGAATCAGTGCGGTTTTTAAAGTTGCGATGTTTCGAGTTGCGTTTTGGAGTGGGTGGTGTTGTAAAAAAGTCTCTGATATCCTGTTGGCTTCTTGTATTCGTGACATCCACAATTTTGGGTATGACATCTAGATAAGATAAGAAAAAATGTTTGTTATAGAAATTGAGCGAAGGAATCGATAAATTTGTATAAGGACAACATTACATCAATCAATACCTTTATTATCGTTACCACTTCCTCCATCTTGGGGGATTCCATCTTCAGCACATGTAGTATACTCCATTTCATGTGAACTTGTTTCTCTAGCTTCATCAATGTAGCTCATGTTGCAATCAACTTGATTACTTTGTGCATCAAGTATACCTTCGACCGTCTCTTCCTCCATTTGAGCAAATGTTTGTTGAATGTCCAACACATCGTAGGCCGTTTCAACCAGACTCTGAGAACCGTAGTTTATGTCACCTTCTGGATACGTAATATCAGTAGGATATTCGCTTATGATCAGTATGTTGTTATAGACATATGACAATATTCTATCTTCTTCCGAAAGATCTCCTTGTCCTGATTGATAGCGAATGAGTCTCGAGGGTCCTAACATTCGCATAGCAGTTTTCATCACGTTTTCTGGCACTAGTAAGTGTTTCTCGGTCACGTTGTCTTCATCTACAGTACAGTCGACAGGGTCATCAAATGCAACATTTATCGGACTCTCAAAAACTTTTACCTGATCGCTTTCTACCATTCCGTTGGTGATTTCAAGATCATATGGATTAGCATCCGAACTTTTTCCGATGCATTTAGAATAGTTAATGGCATCTGGATTAAAGGGATATAATCCACACGCCGAAAATCCGTTCATGATAGTCGATTGTTTCAATGCTTTATTCATTGCTTCTTGGAGCAATTGTCCACATGTAGCTAGCGACATCCGTTCGGTTGGATGGTTTGATCGCCATAGATCCACTACTTTTCCCCAGCTGCTTTTCAACGGACCAAAGATAGCCACATCAGCAGGTTGTAAAATGCGTGTCGCATTGGGGTATAAGGCGATCAACACTATCCCCAATTGCTGGCACATATCTGCGGCCTCCAACGCGACATGGGAACTATGACCATCTACAAAGTATATTATGGGAAATGTAGTATTACTCTTGACGAGAGCTGGATGCAATATTTTTTTGATGTAGAGCACGAAGTTATGCGTATCCATCCATCCATTCTCCGATTTCCCCAGTCCCCAGTCACTGGGAAAGCATCGCAAGGTTTCAAGGTCTAATCTTTTACGTGCAAGAATAATGTCAGGCGGGATTATTCTGCCATTTGCCGCAAACGAAAACATTACAGTAACATTCTGTTTGCTGCTTGTAGTTTCAACAAATGAAACATCCTTCTTTCCTTTTGCGGCGAAAACTTTCTTGGGGATGGGATTCAAACAGAATCCAGATTCATCGCCGTTCAGAATACGCGATGGATCATTCAGTACATCCAGAAGGTGGTTTTCCTCTAAATAGCTGTAGACAGTCTGGAACCAGTTTCTTATGTCCTTTGGAGACACTTTAGAGCTCGCACTAGTTACGGCTTCAGGAGTCCTGATAGTGATTTCGGAGTGACGTGCCAGGAATAATTTGAACCATGATTTACCTGAAAATGCGGGAAAACAAACTTGTTTTGGTATTTTTTTTATTAAAACTGCTAAAATAATAACTCACCAGGTGTGCCGTTCGTGAATGGAGTTGGTCTAGGATTTGCCTTTAAGAACTTTGATATTTTGTATTTCAAGCTGTCTTGGGTTATGGGAAACCCTTTACGTTCCATATCCTTCAGCCACGAAACCATCGCTTTCTCTTCTTGTAGTGAAAAAGTAGAAGGGTCTATGCCTAGGGGCACGAACGGAAGCTTGACGTAGGACCACTAGTGGACGGAATAAATGTGAAGAGCATTAAGTTCTTTTAATTGATCAAATCAGGCATAACATTTGATAACGGCACAAAAGCATTTGTAAACAAACATTCTAAGGCCCTTTACACGCGAACTAAAGTACGCCCACGCAAACCAATACCACTTACGGAAAGGTGATAGTTGCCCCTATGCGATGATGTTGTTGGTTTGCGTGGGTGTACTTTGGTTCGCGTGTAAAGGGCCTTAGAAGGTTTGTTTACAAATGCTTTTGTGCCGTTATCAAATGTTATGCCTGAAATATCTATTATCTCAACTCTTCCCGTTTTTGAATTGTAGGCGATCCAAATTAGTAGTAATCTTTTTCAAAAAGAAAGTTGATTACGAGAATCAATCAAAATCACTTGCACCCCTGCTTCCAAGCTTGTGTGGTCGTTCCCAACAAACAATTTGACCGGAATAAGCTATTTTTTAGCTTAAGAAGCATATTTGTGCCTGAATAAGCTGTTACTCAGCTTGCAATGTTTGTTGGGTTTTGTGGTTCTGAATATGCACAAACAAGCATAGATAAATTCAATTCCAACTCTTTACTGATGTAAGCTTGATGGCTCTGAAAAGGGCCGTTTTATTGAAGAGGACATCCATGGCCACTTACGCTTGGCGTGTTTAGTGTAGGTGACGAACACCTTCAGCACACCTCGTAGATCAGACCGGAGATACGTCAGACACTGCCACGGCGAGCCAGACGACGGATGGTGGTTATCTCGAAGAATTTGCGATGACGATTGACACCTCCTTTGCCACGACCAGCCACGACCTACTGCTGCTTTTGCTGACCACGCCGTCCGAAGCAAAAATGAGCTGATACCAGACAGCAGCGCTGCTTTATATCTTTTTAGGTTAAAGCAGAATGATGTGCAACCAAGTGGTATAAAAGCTACAAAGACTCCTCCCATTATGAGTAGTTTACTATCAAGTAGCGACACTGGCTATTTTCTTTTTGCGTACACGGCGAATGAGAACGCCCCAAATTTGAGTTTAGTTCACTCATAATCGCCAAAAGTGTAGGAACTCAGCGATGAGTAAATTTGTCTCATGATTTCCTGTGGAAAACCTAAAAAATCTGCCAGAAAATGAGGAAATTGACGAAAATTTTATTCAGTCTCGGAGTAGTACCAATAGACTGAGTGAATCCAATCTTTACTTTTCTCAAATTTGGGAATTTTTCCCTGGTAAATCCTGGAAAAACCTGGGAAAACACGAGGAATATTTACTCATCGCTGAGTTCCTGCACTTATTTCTGAGATAACTAAACACAAATTTGGGTCGTTCTCACTCGCCGTGATAGATATCGGCGCCGGTGGTTAGCGTGATTACCTCTCACCCCAGCAGGCCTGGGTCCAATCTCAGTCGGCGCCATCGGCATGTTCTAAGGCATAACATCTCTGGGAGCTGCCTCCCTGGCATCGGTAGCATTGGAGCTAAGTACGGAAAACAAATCGCGCATCAACAATAGAAAAGAGCCCATCAGCATTTGTAAACAAACCGTTCCAAAGCCCTTTACTCACAAAGCGAAGGCCACCCACACAAACCAACACCATCATCTAACTTCTACCTACAAGATGTTGGTGTTGGTTTGTGTGAGCGGCCTTCGATTTGTGAGGCTTTGGAACGGTTTGTTTACAAATGCTGATGGGCCCTATTCTATTGTTGATCCAGAAATGTTTCCTGCCGCCTTCGTCGAATTAGATGCTAGTTGCAAAGTTGATCAAGGTTGATCAAAACAATTTGTATCCCTGCTTCCAGTTTTATTACATGAGCATTTTGTGTGGTCGGTGGTTCTGAATATGGACAAACAGGCAGATGAATTCTATTCCTACTCTTTACTGTAATAAGCTTGGTGACCCTGAAAAGAGCCGTTTTGTTTCGAGTGTTGGTGATGATTTAACCTCTTAAACCAAACAGAGTGCGTCTCTGTCACTTCAAAAACGTAGATGACATCCATGGCCGCTTACGCTTGGCGTGTTTAGTGTAGGTGACAGCATCGCAGATCTCATTTTTCAGGAACACCTTCAGCACACCTCGTAAATCAAACCGGATATACGTCAGACACCGCCACGGCGAGCCAGACGACGGATGGTGGTTATCTCGAAGAATTTGCGTTTGGTTCTGAACATGACGATGAGTGTGTAAAATATTACGCAATTCCATCCTCCCTTTTCGCACGCGCCCTAGGATCGGAGGCGAATGCCACTTCGACTTGTTTCGTCTACTTACTACTCTCTGACGACTGTGCTGGGGAAGCAGCATATGCATGTAGGTAATTGGTGGATTTGTTAGTTAATTCGACACTTTTGGACAATGCTGAACATTTACCAGTTTTTCAATAGAGTCTTGTTAAAAATCAACATTCGGAAGCATTGTTATCAATGCGTAGCCATATTTGTGATCGATTGGTGATAAAATTATTGAAATTGGACCAGGGGAAGCTGAGTTATTAACGTTCAAAATCTTTCTTAATTTGTTACATGTTCCCTTTTCGGTTTTCACAAAGTGTACCCCCATATAGAAATCAAAGACGTAGTCCTACGTCAAAAACTGTGTATGGACCTCTTGAGCCTTTCTGTTTAAATTTATCACTCAGCCGAAATTGAATCGTGGTACGAGGAATTCCAGACAGCTTCGAAGCAGCATAAAGAGTGAGTTTCCGTTCTCGGATTTGATTGATCATTTTGTTCAAATGTTCCTCAGTATACGTTTTCTTATTTCGCCTTTTTAGATTACTCACTGGCTCAGAATCTTTTCCTGATATCGCCTGACATTGCTTAGTGGAAGGTCCGGAAAAGGCTAATATTTCTGCATTGGGTCTGGAGATAGTTTGGCTTTCTTGTTGCACTATAACCGTATGCTGTTCTTTTCCTACAATGCACCACAATTAGAGAAAATAATATTAGTAATGATAGTATTTTTTTACGAAAATAATATTTAAAATGTGGTCGTTTTGTTTATTAAATGAATTTCCACACAAACATATTCGCTCGATACGTTTTGTTCCAAAACAGAAACATTCAATATCTTCACTGGAAGGTGGAAAATAGCCGAATTACTCCAATGAGTTCCTGGGCACTTAATAACCCTGATAAACAAATACCATAAACGAACTGTATTCCGGATGGGTAAACTATCCAACAAATGGTTTGGATGATACACTGAACACGTCGTTAAGCTCCCTTTATGGATATTTTTATGAGGGAAGGCTTGGTCTGAACTGTGATTTGAGCGGTATCACATGATACAGAATGCCGGTATATAAATCCAGTGAACTTACGTGTGTGACGGATCGACAGATCGATCGGGCCAGAATGCTCCACCCACTCCATTGGACTGGTTATCATTCGCTGAAAACGGAAAACTAGATTAAGAACATTTCTGTATTATAAATGATTAATGCTTACCTTCAATCACAAGTAGGTTATTCACACTGCGTGTATTAAATATTTCCTCGCACTTTTTCCACCATTGATTACTGCTACTAGCCCGTACACGGAGAGATCATCTTACCCAGATGATGCAAAAAGATTACCCAGATTGGCCCAAAACTGGATGAACTCAGAATATGGGTTATTTCGTTAACGCAAATAAATGTAAATATAATCCATATATGTGTTATATATATGCAAATTTAACTTGAATTTACCCATTTTTGAGTTAAAAATCAACACATAATCTAAACTTGTTTGGTTTAATTAATTTTGAGTAAAGCAAGCCTAAATTTGGGTTATCTGTTCTTAGCGTGAAGATGCTTTGACAACTAATATTATCTTATGAAAAGAAACACAGGTCGGGCAATGTGGATTGTCGCCACAGTCTTTCCAATGCTGTGCATTGAATGTGACGTCACAAATTCACTTCATAAGGCACCATGGGAAAAGAGGAGGTCAAATGCACTTTGTCAAACCTGGTTCCATAAGATTTGATAGAAAATATGTACTAGTTACGCCCTTTGGATAACTCGGCTAACAGAGTCAGACGAGTATAGAGATTGCTGAAGTGCGATTGTGTCTGTGATTTATTTTCATCGGGAAAATATTTTGCTATGGGATGAATCCTGATGAAAACATTGTGTGTGTACGTATACGCAACGTCGCTCAACATAGTGTGTGTACGATAAACGTCAGCAATCTTTATGTTCACATGCACCAGTGTTGTCAGCTTCATTTGCATTACAAAGTTTGGAAGAATTACGAATTGATAGGGTAAACACAAATATCGATCTAAAATTGACTAAAAATGGTTGTAAAATGGTGAATTATGTTAGTGTTTTGCAAATAAAATAGTTGCGCAATAGTTTTGAGATAAAAAGATGAAATTAAACTATATTTTGTTTCAATGACGTTTCATGTTTTTAAAAGAACATTAACTTTGGCAACAAGGACAATCATG